GGTGAATTTTGCGACGAAGTATTCTAAAATCTGGGTTTTTATTGCAGTTTTTGGCCGGTAGAGGAGGTCATATTGACTTAGCTCTATAGCCCACTTCATGAGTCGCTGAGAAGCGTCAAGGCTGTGGAGGATTGATCTCAAAGGAAAGTCGGTCATGATGATAACTCGATGAACTTGGTAGTAGGGTCGTAACTTTCTCGCGGAAACTACAAGGGCCAAAATGAGCTTCTCCAATTTCGGGTAGCAAGTTTCTACATCGAGGAGAGCTTTTGACGTGTTGAATACCGAATGTTGGGCCCCCAGCTCTTCTCGGATGAGAGCTGAGCTGATAGCTGAGTTAGACACTACCAGGTACATGAACAAGTCTTCACCATGAACGGGCTTTGAGAGCAGGGAAGGTGAAGTGAGGTAAGTCTTCAGATTCTGGAAAGTTACTTCGCACTCTTCATTCCATTTGTCTCTTTGTCTTTTCTTCAAAGCTTTGAAGAATGGTATGCACTTGTCGGTAGATCTCGAGAGGAATCGGTTGAAGGTCGTTCTTATGCTCGTCAGACTTTGTATTTCCTTCACTGTGAAAGGCGACTTCATCTCGAGAATAGCTTTAATTTGACGTGGGTGTGCCTCAATACCTCGTTGCGTAATTAGGTATCCCAAGAATCGGCCAGAGGATACATCAAACGTGCATTTACTTGGATTCAACTTCATGCGATACTGGTGAAGCAGGCTGAATGCCTCGGTGAGGTTTTTGAGGTGATCTGCACGCTTTGAGGCTTTGACCAACATGTCGTCCATGTAGACTTCCATAGTTTTGCCAATCTGCTCCTTGAAGATTTTATTCACGAGCCTTTGATAGGTTGCTCCGACATTCTTTAGCCCAAAGGGCATGACCTTGTAGCAGTAAGTCCCTCTCTCGATGATGAAAGAAGTTTTCTCCTTGTCATCCTCGTGCATCAAGATTTGGTTATAGCCGGAGTATGCGTCCATGAAGCTGAGTAGCTGATTGCCAGAAGTGGAATTCACAAGTTGGCCGATCCTCGGCAATGAGAAGTTATCTTTTGGGCATGATTTGTTAAGGTCAGTGTAATCAACATAGACTCTCCACTTGCCCTTATCTTGTTTTGCCACCAGAACAACGTTGGCAAGCCACTCTAAGTAGGAGACCTCTTCGATGAAGCCGGTAGCTAGGAGTTTGTCAATTTTGGCTTCGATGATAGCAACTCACTCGGGGGCAAAGTTGCGTCTCTTCTGCGCCACCGGCTTGCAGGCAGGGTTGACGTGGAGTCGGTGACAGATGATTTTTGGGTCGATGCCAAGCATGTCTGATGGCGACCATGCGAACATATCTTTGTTGTTCTAGAAGAAGGTGGTAAGCTCCATATACTCGTCTAGGCTTAGGCGTGAGCTGATCAGCGCTTTTTTGTCTGGCTGGTCAAGATCCAAGAGTATTAACTCGACGTCTTCCTCGGGTTTCCATCATTCTTTAGGAAAAACCTCTGTATAGATTTTCTCGGCTTGGTCCTGACGCTTTGATTGCTATAAAAGAGCAAGATTCGGTTGTTCAACCTCCTTCAGATCTGCTTGGCTTACAAGGAGGAATTGCGCCTGTTTGCTTTTCTTCAGCCCTTGGGAGGAGCATTTCCTCGTCATTTCTTGATCGCTGTTGATTTGGCCGACACCGCCCCCAGGGATTGGGTACCGAATTTTCTGATGTGTGGCAGATGTGATGGCGTTGATATTGTCGATCCATGATCTGCCCAGAATGCTGTTGTAGGGTGAGACTTCATCAATGATCATAAATGTTTGCAAGCTAACTATATGCGGGGAGTAGACGTCGAGGTTTATCCGCTGGATGGCCTGCTTCGCAACGAATTCTGTGCAGTGACCTTCTCTCACGAGTTCTTCAAGGTGCGTTTTTCAAGCGAAGCAGTTGTTCGTAGTGTGCCCATGTCTCCCATGGAAGGCACAATATTTGCTAGTATCCCTCTTGTCCGGGTCTCTTTCTAAGGGTTGCGGTCTTCTTACCCAAGGTTTGTCTTTTACTTGGGCTAAGATTTGATGTATGAGGATGGTGAACTTTGTGTAGTCCTCTCCTGCCTTAGCGTCCCCTTGTGGGTGTGACCTGTGCTTGTCCTTGTTCTTGTTGCTAAATCTGTCACTTCTTTGGCTTACCCGTTTAGTCGACTGATCTTCCTACTTTGTAAACTTCTTTGCGGCGATTCGATCGTCATCCCAGAGCGCTTAGCGTTCCGCGGTCGCGTAGACTTCTGCTAGAGTCTGGTTGGGAGTGATAGTTAGCTCGCGGTACAAATCGTGTTCAGCTAGAAGACCTTTTTTTGAAAGCAGATGACACGATTCGGTCGTCGCATCCTACGATGTTGGCATTTTCTGCTTTGAATATCTTGATGTAATCTCGAAGGGATTCGTCAGACTTCTTGCGTAGGTTGTACAGGTGGTCAGGGTTCTTCTTGATTGTCCGACATAAGGTGTATTCTTTGGTGAAGATATAAGCTAACTCCTTGAAGCTGCTGATCGACCCGGATGATAGGGTGTGGAACCAGTCTTGGGCTGCTCCTCGCAAGGTCATTATAAATACCTTGCACATCAGCCGTTGTCAGCTTTATGGAGGATCATGACACTTTTGAATTGTTTTAGGTGGCTCTCGGGATTGGAATTCTTTTTAAAGTGTGTAAACGAAAGCGTTGAGAATAGCCTTGGGTGAGCAGCCTGCTCGATTTCGGGGGTGAAAAGCGTAGAGTTCACCTGGTCCATCTCCTTAAGTAATGCATCTTTGAAGTTCCCGCCGATCTTCAGGTCTCGAAGTCGGCCGTTCACAAGCTTCTCAGTGTCTTCTGCACACATCGCTGGTTGATCACGTTGGCGACCTTCGCGGTTTGGGTGATGCTGATTGACCTCCTCGTTGATCTGTGATGGTCGACCTTCTCGCCTACGCTGCCTCCGAAGCGTGTTGGTGGACTGCGCTTGCGAAGGATTTTCTGTACCTTGCCAACGAGAATCAACTCTTCGAGAGTGATTAGCGGAGCTCATTTCCTTATAGTCCTCATTGTGAAGGTTATCCAGCTGACCACCTTGGGGGCCTAGCCTTTCATGAATGCTCCTCTGTGAGTGGACAATTAAGCGCATTTCTTCACGATCTTCGCTGGGATGGTTGTCTGGCTGACCTCCCTGGGGGCCTAGCCTTTGATGTACATTTTCTTGCAGGCCCAGGCGGGTGCGGATGTAAAGTCGTGGGCCTAGCCTTTCCTGCACGTTGTTCCTTAAACTCAATCTGCTCTGAGTGTGGCTTGCAGATGCTTGCGACATGTCGACAGGCCGATCACGTTGTTGTCCCTCGCCGTCTGCTCACTCCTGCTCTACCTGATTGGTACCCGTCGAGCTGCCTACCGGTGCAGTCGTCCATCCTTCTCTCTTCGCCCGGTTGTCCAATGTCAAGGTTTTGAGCCAAGCTCAGTTGGTTGAGGAGTTGCTTCATCAGATTGCTTTGGTCGTCCATTCTCTGAGCTAGCTGGTCAACTCTCAGACTAAGGTCTGCTTGACTTCGTGGATCAAGAGGAGAGAAGTGCGTGGAGCCCAATTGCACACAGGCTAGGGTTTCATTGGAGGTGTACGCGAGAGCGTGCGTCGAGCGTAGAAACAATGGAGGGAATGCTTGAAGTTGCTCCAATACCGATCCTAAGTCGTTGGTGGTAACGAGCCCACCTTGATGGAAGGTTCCACCATGTTCGGCGGCGGTGGCTAGTGCAGTTGTGAGAGGTGGTGGTGCCACCATGTTGATCGCGGGATCGTGGGTGTAGTGGTTTTGGGCCGTCGTGGATTTAGCCAACGCGGCATATTTGCCTCTCGCTTTCTTACTTCCAACCATGGTTGTTTTGAAGGCTTCGGTGGATTGAAAAATAGGAGGAACGGATTCCTTGAGCACGCGTTGAGTATAACTCGTGCTCTCAATGAAAGCACCAATTTGTGTGAGCAAAATTCCCCACGAGAATATTCGATTGGAAAGATTCCCCTTTCTTCTTCGCCGCCTCCTTCTCCCTGCAATATAGAACCAAAAAGAGGACTACACCCGGAGTGTTGGCCAAAGGCTCTCCGATGCCTAAATTAGTTCAATTAAATCGTATAGAAAACAATAGTTAATAGGGTACGAAGATATGTTTATGGTGTAAATTGGGCGGTCGGAGCCTTATATAAAAGAGAGAGAGAAAGGAGGTGGCTAGGGTTTGAGAAGAATTTTCTGTAGTGTTTCAGTAGGGATTTCAAACGTACCTCAACCCTTGTGTGTGACTATCTTTTTATAGTTTTCTTGGATGCTAGGGTTTCAGATGAATAATTGCGTAAATGGAAGAGAATTATTCATCCCCTATTTGGAATTGATTTGATTAATTAGGGATTTGATTTATTAGGGTAAATCAAATCCCTAATCGTGGTAGGTATCAAATCAAATCCTAATTTAATTAGGTAACTCTCCATTTAATTGGGAATTGTGGTATAAATCAAATTAATTCTCAACTTAATTAGGTAACGTTCAATTTAATTGGGTAATCCCCAATTAAATTGAGTAACTCCTAATCAGGTTGATTAATTCCTAATTAGGTCAAATAATCCCCAAATAGAAGGAATTATTTGACATAGGGTTTGATTTAATTCGGTTCCCACAACTGTCACCGCCACCACCTCCGCTACCATCACCCTTACCCCTACTTTCACCACCACTACCACCCCTTTTATCAGCCCCAGCATCATCACCATCATCGCCACCATCGCCACCGCCATTCCCACTCCCACTGCCACCGCCACCGCCATCACCTCCACAACCACCTCATTCCCACTGCCACCACCACTACCACCCCCTACCTCCTCCACCACTATCTACCCCATCACCAGCCACAAACCGCCATCGCCAGCGCCCCTAAACATTTCTTTTAAAAAATAAAAATAAAAATAAAATAAAATTTATGCTATAAACTCTATTAAAGTCAATTATAAAATTCTAACAACCTCAATTAAATTCTATACACGATTTCAGTTAAAATCTATGTAGAGTTTGTAGAATTCAATCAAACTCAATTAAATTCAATTAAACTCCATCTGAATCTAAATTGAATTGAATTTAATAAATTTTTTAAGCGCAGCACTCCTAAACGCCACCTTAGGTTTTTCTTCCTCCTCCGATCCCATTTTATCTGTTTCTCCTTCAGCCATCACGCCGCCAAACCTCTCTCTCAGCCGCCGCGCCGCTCTCAGTCGCCGCCGTCACGCAGGTCAGATTCTCTCTCTCTTCTGTTTTTCTTTTCCCCCTTCGATTCTCTGACCCGCTAACTCTCTCTGTCCTCCATCACTTCGCAGCTTCCACTTTGTAATCTCCTCTTCATCTCAGCTAGCTCTCTCTCTCTCTCTCTCTCTCTCTCAGCTCTTCTTTGATTCTCTGACCCGCTGGAAAGAATCTGTTTTGTTATTTTGTGGCCTCACGCAATGATTTAGGCAATTTGTGGCTTCAGCCTTCACCCCAAAGATTTTATGATTTAGGCCAAATAGTAGCTATTATGGTTTGTAGTTTTTCAAACTGTGATTATAAATTTTCAATTTACAGAATTACAAAATATAAATTGTACTTTTGTTTGTACCTTAAAACCGGATGAGGCCACTGGCCCTTTCCCTGAAGCTGTGCTGCTTAAAGAGGTTGCCTTTTCAATTTTGGCACAACTTCCTGTTCTTACTCTTTTTTTCCCTTTTCCTTCTTTATTTTTGGTTCCTTTCCTCTGTGCGAAATTTGGTTTCTGAAAATGAGGACTTTTTTGTGCGACCCTTTCGTGAAAGAGATTTATTTTTCTTGAAAAACTAAATGAAGTTGGATAAGATAAGGTTTTGGGTTAAGTTTAGTTGCATATATTATTACAGTGACCACTCTAATTGTAATTGATTTTGAGATGAATTTTTGTTATGAATTGCAGAAGAAAGTTCAGGAAGATGGTAAACTTCTCAGAAGAATGTGAGATTTTGTTTTCATCACTATGCAGAGAAGGTATATGAATTTTTGAAGCTTCAGAACCAGGAGCCACAAGAACCGAACCGGAAGGGGCAGGTCCGGGTTGGTTTGTTCTTGCCACCGAACTGGTCTTCATTTCCGGTTCAGGTTCCGGTTTCACGAGAAAACCGGTAGCGCTAGTTTAAGCTTTCATTTTCTTCGATTCTCTGGTTTTCTTCGCTGGCTACAAAAGCTATGCAAGCCCTTAAACGCATAGCGACAAAGACCGAGTTCCAGAGACTCTCATCCACAATCACCAAAACCCATTTCATATCCAGCACCAATTTCAGACCCTTCTCCTCCAACTCAAAGAAAGGCGACGACGACTGGAACGAAGCCTGGGAGACAGCGTGGCTCCCGCCCGACCTCTCGGGAAGTAGTAGCAGAGCTCCGTGGGAGACCGACGTCAATTTCTCGTCTTCAGAGTCGAGCGTAGTGCTTCCCTCGGACGCGGACCTAGAGACCAAGGCGTTCGTGGAGGACATGAATGAGAATTGGAATGAGAGAAGAAAACCCAAAGAGGAAAAGCAGCAGAGTGAGAATGGGTCGTCGCTTTATAGCTTGGATAGTATTAAGAAGGATTATAGGATCAAGAAACAAAGGATTCATGCTGGCCTTTGGATGAAGGAGATTGAGAAGCAAGAGGAGGCTAAGTTGGCCGACTTGAATTCTTTTGGTGGTGGGGATGATATCGAGCGATTGCTCGATAGCTGCTCCGAGTATGCTCTCCTTCTGTTTTCTTTTTTCTTTTTCTCATTGCTTTACTCTGTTTTGTATGCATGTATGTATGCAGTTTGTGTATCCATTTTGAATGTGTTCAGTGTGCGGATTGGGTTCTCGTTCTTGTATTTGATATGAATGCCCTGTTGTCCATTTGATGTGGGTTCTTTGTTAAATTGAGATATTTCACTTGCACACATACCCAATAGTTATTTCATTTGTTATGTTTTAATGCTCTGAGTCTGATTGATTATTTTCCAAGTCTTGAATTTTTTCTTGATGTTACTAGATTAAATATGCATGTGTTAATATTCATAGAAAAAAGTTTTGAAGGGTGCTTTTTAATTTACTTGTTGGGTGTACTATCGGGATACTTGCAGCATTTTTGATTCTGCCAACAATGATTTGGAAAACTCTAAAGCCCCGAGTGCTTCTGACTTCAAAAACAAACCGGATGGTTGGGAAACGACATCCAAGGCTAAGGATGGAAATGTATGGGAGATGACACAGAGAGAGGAAGATATTCTTCTCCAAGAGTTTGAGCGTCGAATTGCATACAATAAATTTCAGGTGTGTAAATACACTCAAACAGACTTGTATTTTCCTTCTTCCATTATACAGTTTGTTCCAAGTGTAAGCATAATATAAATGAAGAGCGCAACTCGTAAGATTAATCCCAAGTTTTAGATTGTCTGTATAAATCTTTATCAAATCTTAGACAAGGGTGTACAAGTGTTGCACATGGCTGTGGTGCATCAGACTTGGTAAAAGAGAACTTTTGAAATTTGACTCTTATGTATGGAATGATGCTACTGTGTCTCCTAGTATTTCTGGTTGACTGTATTTTCTGCATAATGGCACCACACCTCCTACAGTTTTTCTACCGAAAAAAGTTTGAATGTACTCTTTCATTACATTTATCTTAATCTTATTGCCAACATCTTCCTCGTTTACCCCTGTCCTTTCTTACTGTTGGTTATCTGACATTGACGTGCAGATTGCTAGTTTTATCAAGACTCACATATTTAGCCGGAGGAGACCAATTGATGGGTGGAAATACATGATAGAGGAGCTAGGGCCAAATGCGAGGAAAGGGAAGGGTTCTGTTACAAGATTACCGAGTCTATCCGATGCATCAACCCAACCCTTTAAGGAGGAAAACAGTGCAATGAGCGGCAGCAGCATTATGCCCTTTAAGGAGAGGTAGTTTGCTATTGGATTATGTTCGTGTATTCCTGTGTGCTCGGAGATTTCAGAGATTGGGCAGTAATGACCTTCCTTTCTTTAGAGATACCAGCGTCGAAAGTATTCGTAGCTACCATATACATTCATTCTGGCAATTTTGATCTCTGGCTTTCTCAATGTATGATCGTACCATCCTGTAGGCAACTGAAAGTGCAATTAATGTAAGTGAAAGAATGTATGCATTTCCTTCAAACCTGCTGTTCCGACTTCTGAATGGCATATTAACTTATAAGCCTTCAATATGGTTTCAATGTAAAGAATACCCTTTTGCATTTTTACTGTATTTCTAGGAAAATAGAAGATGCACATAAGTTTGATGAGTTGATTTCATGGAATACTTTGACGGGTGGTTATCTTCATGTGTCTCAGCCTCAAGTGATTGTAGATTTGTTTAAGAAAATGTGTAGGAGCTGTTTTGAAGCTAGTGTTACCACCATTTTGAACCTTTTGTCTGCCATTGGTGATTTAGGAAGTTACCTTGGAGGAGTCTCTTCATTGGTACTGCATCAACATTGGCTTTTGTTTGGATTTACAAGTGCTTACTGCTTTGATTGATATGTATGCAAAGAATGGGCAAATTGATTTAGGACGTCGGATTTTCGATGGAGTTGCTATTAAGGATGTTGTATTATGGAATTTTTTGGTAGATACGTATGCAAAATGTGGCCTGGTACAAGAAGCAGTAGCTTTGTTGCGGTTGATGAGACTTGAAAGAATGAAACCCAATTCATCTACATTGGCAGGACTGCTTTCGGCTTGTGCTGCTTCTGGGTCTTTTAAGTGTAGAGAGTTGCATTAAGGATTATGTGGAAGAGGAGAACTTGGTTATGGATGCGGTTCTTGGTACAGCTCTGGTTGACATGTATGCTAAATGTGGGTCTTTGGAGAAGGCACTTGACATCTTTGAAAGCATGGAAAGTAAAGATGTGAAATCATGGACAGCCATGATTTCGGGTTACGGTGTTCACGGGCAGGCAGGCAATGCCATAAGGCTGTTCTATACAATGGAAGAGGAGGGGTGCCAACCTAATGAAGTCACTTTCTTGGCAGTGTTAAGTGCTTGCAGCCACGGAGGGCTGGTGACAGAGGGAGTTAGATGTTTTGAGATAATGGTTTGCAAGTACGGCTTTGTGCCAAAAGTTGAACACTACGGTTGTATGGTAGATCTTTGGGGTCGTGCAGGGTTGCTGGAGGAAGCACATACACTAATCGATTGAAAGCTTGCCCATCAAGAGTGACGTTATGGCATGGCGTGCATTGCTTTCAGCTTGCAGGGTTTATGGGTACGTTGCTCTTGGGGAAACTGTAAAGAGTGTTAATAAATCTTAATGATGATCATCCCACCAATTCAATGCTACTATCAAGTGCTTATGCGATTGCTGGAAGGTTGCCAGATCATACGAGAAGAACACAGGAAAGGGAGCATGAAAAGATAGTGAGAGGAGAGAAATTCAGGCCAGTTGGAAAAGAAGAAAACCTGATAAAGGAAGCTGGACGTAGCACAATTGAGATGGATAGTCAAGGTTGAAAAAATTAAAGTCATCAAATGACCTGGAATATATTTTTGTATTGTTTTTCGTTTGTTCGAGACCTGTGTTAATGACCTGTGTTTTTCGTTTCGTATTTGATTTTAGCCCAATTTTATAAACTCAAAAATAGATTTTAAGTCCAAAAGCCGAGAAACTCGTTTAGTAGGCCCATTTTAAATATCCAAACCCAAAACAAACTCAAATCCCTATTATTGAAAAAGTAAATTTAGGCTTTAGCTAAAAAAAATTTCACTTTTGGAAAAAACCAAAGCTTTTTGAAAAAAGACAGAAAAATCTCTCAACTTTCAAATCAAAGACATGCAAATGTAAAGGATTCCTTAGAAAATTCAAAAATAAATAAGGGTAATTTTGTTCATTTTGGTTTCTTTTACAAAATTTCTCTCTTCTTTGTGTTTTTCCAAAGTCTCCCTATTGAAAACAAACTGAAACCCCTATTATTGAAAACAAAACAAATGCGTTTTTCTTGAAACTTTTTTCTCGCGTCGTTCACTCTGCTGGTTCGCTCGAGCTCACTTTAGTTCTCCCTCAAGCTTCAAGCTTCAAGCTTCCATCGGAGAAGCTCGAAGCTCTCTTGCTCCCTCTCTCTTCGTCCCTCTCTTTGTCTACCTCTCTCCTCCTCTCTTTCATTAGTTTAAACCCTAGAAATTGGGGATTTTTGTTTGTACCATACTTGACCCGCTACTCACGTCACAACACGTGGAAAGAGTACGACACTAAGAAAGACCCTATCACCCACACTGGCAAACCAAGTGGTATGGATGGGTAGGTACCTTCGGTACCCACGACCAATTCAGAGCCCAACATAGCCCAGCAACAGGCTAGAGAGGTCAGTCATGCAAACAGCTGGCGCTCCCGATTGTTCGTCAAACATGCGTCTGTCACGTCTTGCTGATTCAACGCCTTGAAAGGCATCTTGCGGGACAACCTCAAACTTCCCGCTAGGATATTTGCTGAGACCCGTGTCGACCTCAAAAGGCACTCCCATGAGTCCCACATAGAAAGTAAGTACCAAGAGAATACCCAGCGCTCTCTATAAATAGGGCCCTTTGTCAACAGATTGCTCTCCTCTCAAAACTAACTTTAGCATCGTAGGGTCTTCGGCCGGTACCACATCAGTGCCTTAGGCCTCATTCACTGTTATCTCTCCTTGGTAATGTGAGTTCCTGTTTAAATTTGATAATGGGTTTCTTTTGTCTGGTAGGTTGAGAGGTACAAAGACAAAAAAATCTATGGAGTTGAAGCTGAAAGGAGAGATTCTAGTGGATCCAAAGATCTCGGCTGTGGAGATATTATTTTGTGTTAACTATAGATAAATAATTATTTTGTGTTTGTGGTGGAGATATTATTGGGTTAACTACAGTTCCTTTTTAATCGGATTTTGAAATTTTTGTTGCTATGTGTCTGAATTTGGAAATTAGGGATTTGTGTGTGAATTTGTGGAAATTTGCCCTATCATTGATGTGTTATCTGTCTTTGAGTTTTAGGGTATGTGCTGCTTATATATCCAACTAGTTATCCTGTACATTGGTTCGGATTAATATGCATCTGGGCTTGTGAGATTTAATTTGGGATTATGCTTGATACATACGCTATTTAGGCATTGATAGTGAACAACAACAGTCTGGGACTAATCCCTGTTCTGTTATAAATGTTGGTGTAGATGATTAGAAGTTAAGGTGCCATAGATTAAGGGTAAGCAAGCTCAATCAATTTGAGACTGCTACAAGTTACAACTTACCAGCAGGCTTTTCTTTATTATATCTGCATAATAACATTCTATGTCTGGGTCTTGGCTGTGTTAACTCACTCTCTGGGTCTTTGCTTACATCTTAGCCTCTCAAGTTGAGAATTATGTTGGTTTTATTTCAATCTTTAACCTGTATGTACTGATGGGGAGAATACTTCAGTACATGACTCAACCACATAAGAGTTGCAATTGTAGAGCAAAAAGAAGTCAGTTTGGTTTGAAGCCACGAACTTATCATAGGGAAGGGTTAAGTTATGGAGTGACGAAATATCATTGTTACGAGCAGTACCATCTAAGTAGCCTGAAAGCAGAGAATTTGAGACAAGAAGAGACCTGCTTTGGTAATTGATGTTGTGAAGGAGAGAGAGTACTCTTGTTACATCTTGTTTGTATAGTTTGCAGGATGTGCTGTAATTTTGTGTTTCTCTAAGTGCCTGGTTCTTACTGTCCAACTAAATGAACATCTGCAGATGTTGCCAAACTTAAGCATTTTAGAATATGTTTGGTAACTCAGGAGGTGTTTAATACAATTTGTCAGGTGATCCCCAAATTTGATATTTTCAGTAACAATGAATTGTATGCTCTGTGCTAACACTGAGTATTAGAATACTGTCTTTAATATGTATTATTTAAGACTTGAAGGCCAATTGAGCTTGTCGATAATATATGTATGGTATTAAAATATGGATGTTAAAATAGTGTTTTTAATATAATTTTGATAATGTTTATCAAAATATCTTAATTATAAAAAAAGAGAAAAAAAAAATTGTTTTCAAGAATTCAACCAAACAAGTTTTCAAATTTTAAATATTCAAAAATAGTTTTCAAGTTGCATACCAAAAAACTTTTTGAATCTTAAAAAATGGATTTGAGAACTCCTTGTTTTTAAGAAAAATAACAATTTTTGAGTTCCATACTTAAATAGAATACCAAACAGGCTTTGATATTTTGGTACAAAAGTTGAATCATATTTTGGTCCAATTAAAATGGACTAAAATCCTATCCGTCGTTGGTGGGCCTAAATGCATTCTTGGACTGGTTGGGCTTGATATTTCGCTTGGGATAACAATCCATCAAATGGGGGTATCATAAACCCAAGAGAAACCATGGGTTTCGAAGCCTCCGCAGCCCCGTTCGCGGCTTAAAGCAACGTTTGCTCCTCTTCTTCCCATCGCTCTTTCTTCTTTTCATTCTCCTCTGTGACTTCATCACTGCCATTTTGAACGTAGATTTCTTTCCTCTGTAAATCTTTTTTTTTTCTTTCTATGGAGGTGTGATTCTCTCTTCTATCATTTCTTCTCTTACAGTCGGGAGTAGCAGCAAAAACACACAAAAAAAGCCTTCAAAAGAAAATACATGAAGAAAAAAAGAAGAGCATTAACTGCAGAATATCTAGATTCCTGAAAACGTCTTTCATCTTATGGATTTATCTTTTTCAAATTTTTGGAAAATCATCCCCTAGAGTTTTTGACATTCTAATACCTCAGTCTACCTGCAAATGCTGACCCCAAATCTTTTAATCGAACCCCGGCGAATGATTTAGGGGTAAAAAAATTTACACATTCCAGTGGAGAGGAAGAGGATAATGGGATGTTTGCTACTGGAGAGCTGACAGCATATTATTACTCTGCACTTATACTGTGCCGCTCACATAACTTCAGCCCACCATCTCTCTACTGCTTCTGAAACAATAGGAAATTTCATTATCTGGAATTTCCATTGCTTCTTGGTCCAATCTGAGCAAGTCATCATGCTTACACCTCAGACTTGGAATTTTTATTTTATTAAAGTTCAATTAGTTTACAACTTACCTGATGCAGAATGCAGATAAGGAAAAGAAACTTTTTAATTCAACTTTTAGAAAGAAAACAGAAACCTCAAATACATTTGATTGGGGATTTCAAAGCAATGTTCCTAAGAACACTCAAATTTAAGGATGGGAGGCAAGCATCCTAAGCTTCTCCCTATGATACAATCAACTTGCTGATGAAAAATAAAAGCAAATCTACTAGCAAAAGCATACATACATGGACTTTTTAATGATTCTGTAAATAAAGTTTAAGCCTTGTTATAAGTAGCACAAGGTACCATAACAGGTAACAATGGTGAAGCCTCTCAGTGCCTCCTTATCATTTAATCTCTCACGCAACTACCATCATGAACAGAATTCCATTCTCCTCCACATCCATAGCAGAACTGGAATTGGCACCTGCAAACACAATATACAGCAGATAAAACTTCCACTAAGTAAAAGCATTAAACCTGCATTAACCATAATCTAATTTGTTTCATCATCAGCCAAAACTTAGGGGCACCCAAGGTTCTATTGGGCATAATAACCATCTAAAACCCATTATGGATAACATGATACATAAGCCTTGATGGTGATGCTAAAGACGAAAACGACGAGCGTACATTATCAAGCAACAATGGGGGATTTTTGACTAATACCATGTGTTAAGAACTTAAGATTAGATTTTTATCTTGGTCATTTGATTAGATACATTATTATGATTAAACACATATATATTGTACCTATGAATGCATAAAGTACTAACTTGAATAATGTACCTAAAGAAAACCAAAATTAAAATCTAATCCTACTTCTGGGTTTGATCAAAAAATCATTTTATTCAAAGATAAGAATCTAATGTTCTAAAGAAAATCAATCATATGCATATACCAAAAGAAACTGACCTGCAAGAAATGTGCAAACAACCTTGAGTCTTCTCCACATAAAATTTGCACTTAGGGCACCTCCTCCATTTCTCCAGCTTTGCAAGCTCCTTCACCATAAGATCTGCCCTCCCTCTCTCATCCTCATTAAGCATCTGAAACTCCTCACAATCAATCCCCGGGTGCCATGGCACTTGGCATCTTGCACAGAACAATCTATGACAAGCAGGGCACTCTGACTCTCTTATGCCTTCACCTTCATTATCAATCATCAAAACCATTGAGCAATCATTAAAAGGGCAGTAAAGTCTTTGTGCCCCAAGAACCAAAGCCTCACAGAGGGCATCATTCCACCTCTCAAGAACCTCTCTGGGAAGCATTGGCCTGCAAGCATCAAGCTCAATCACAGCCTTGCAGCCCAAGCCAGGGCAAACAACAATGTGAATGTTGTCTTGGATTTTTGAGGCAGCATGTTTGGCTATGCAGTCAGAGCAAAAGGAGTGACCACAGCTCTCAGTTCTGAACATCTGGGCAGCCTCCTTCATTTCAACACAAATCCCACAGAAGATATGTGGCTGAATTGGGTTTAGGGTTTCATGAATTGGGGTGGATTGGGTTGCTTGGGAAGCTTGGATTATTGTTGTTGATGATGAGGAGGAGGAGGAGGCGGCGGCGGCGGTGGCAGAGGAGGAAGACGACCCAACATTGAGTGTCGTTTGGGAAGCGATCGAAGAAGACATTAGAGCCTCCTGGAACTGCAACTCTTCTGCATATCTGGAATCTGAGACTGGGTCATTTTCGTCTTCAAGATCACTCTGATCAAATAGTGCTGAGAAGTAGAAATCGTCAACATTGAGATGAAGATTACCAGAGGCTAATTCTTGTGCCATAATATGATTCAAGCTGCTCACTTATAATCTCAAAAACTGCCACTGTCAGGGCAGTTTTATGATGAAAATCAGCTATAATAGGAAGTGGGATTGCTTTTACGCAAACTTGCCTACGAAGGTCATCTCCAATTGGATGTTCTCTTTACTCTCAGTGCTCATCCTTCCTGGAGGGTTTGTTTGCTTTTTGGAACAGTGATTTGACTTTGACTTGCCTTGATTTATCTCCAAATATTTTAAATTTGAGTTAAATATTTTTTTGGTTACCGGAAAAAAAAAAAAAAAAAAAAAGGTCAAATTAATCACTGTGTTTCCCAACGTTTACAATTTTAATTTTTGTAGAAAGCACCTTCAGTCAAACCAAACCAAACCAAGGTTATGTTAGGAAAATCTTGGGTTGAAGGAACATTGCAAGGTATGATGACATGTTTACTAATCTGTAATTGATTATGAGGAATTGGATAATAAAATTCCAGATTCCTATTGAAGTTGTTTACTAAATCATATGGATTGAGGAGAGTTAGATTTCGGATTCTTATTGAAATTATTTTACTAAACCTGTAAACCATTAGAATTGATATATGAGTGGTATTAATTACTAAAATGTCCTCTTTGTTGGGCTAAAGTAAATGACAAATTTAGAATTTTGAAAATTGTGTGAGGATATAATAGGTAAAAAATATGAATTCGTTCTCCAGGAATTAGAATATCACCTCTTACCTAATAATTGAATTTCTCCAAAATCAGGAATTTAATTCCTAATTTTGTGTGGACCTCACTTATTTTTCAATTCCTTAATGTGAAGTAAACGCAAGAATCCTCCGCAGGCGGAATTCAATTCATGATTAATAAACACACCATAAGTAAAATAAAAAAGCCAAACCAAATTAAAAAAGAAATCAACTTGGCAAAAAAAAAAAAAAAAAAAAAATGAAATCAACAACTTACCAATATAGTTTGGTTCTCTATCACTTTGATTACGTCTCCTTGTCATCCGAAGTTGCAATACAGCTTCACTCAATCAATTTAGGCTTTAATATAGAGCACCAAAATATAGAAATTTGATTGCACCAAAATATAATAGAGGAAGAAGATGGAACGTGTTTCCTATAAAACTAAAAATAAAATTGTAAACTTCGGGAAATACAGTGACCAATTTGGCTAATTTTTTTCTTTTCAATGACAAAATTGAATTTTCATGTAAAACCTAGTGACTGAAAAGGTATTTAACCCTTTAAATTTTCTTCTAGTTTTAACTCAAATAATTTTACAAGGTTTATTTTTTGGCCTGCAAATAATATTCTGCTAACAATGGTTTTGTGTGTGTGTGTGTGTGGGTATTTTAGACACTCGAATATAATCATGGTCATCGCATCAAACTATATATAGAACGAGGGACTGCTTTTCGCTCCACAATGAAGTAGGCATTGCAAAAAAATGTTGGGACGCAAACCTCGATGAAAGCAACAATTAATATGTAATTCACACACAAGCACGACGAGAGAGACAAAATTTACCCAAATTCTAGTACAACAATACTTAGTTACTTGGCTTAATTATGTACATGCCCCCTGTGCTTTCCAACTTATCTCAGATTACCACCTGTGGTGGAAAACGTCTCAAAGTACCCCCCAACGTGCAAAAAACTGTCTCACGTTACCCTTTCCGTCAGTTTTTTTGAAGTTCCGTTACGAACGTTACTGTTCATCTCCCCCAAAATTCCAGAACAGCAGCTCCTCCCATTTGTTACTGTTCATCGCACCAGTTTTTGGGCTGCCATCGCCTCCTCCGGCCACCCCAAGCGACTACATGGATATCAAAAGAACCAGCACGTTGTCCTCTACCACCCTCACATCTCAGCCGCTGCCAACCGTCGTCTGGATCACCGAAAAAAGCAAGAAATTGGCCGGTTTTTACCCAAAATCTCCATTGCTCGTTCGGGCGATTCCGAGCACCATTTTCTTCGATCCAGGTATGATTTTTCAACCTCTCGAGTTGTTCTTGCTGCTAGTTGTGTTGGTTAGGAGAAATTTCTGAGTTTTGGAGGGTAAATAAGCGATGAACAGTAACAAAGGGGAGGGGCTACTGTTCTGGAATTTTGGGGGAGATGAACAGTAACATTCGTAACGGAACTTCAAAAAAACTGACGGAAAGGGTAACGTGAGACAGTTTTTTGCACGTTGGGGGGTACTTTGAGACGTTTTCCACCACAGATGGTAATCTGAGATAAGTTGGAAAGCACAGGGGGCATGTACATAATTAAGCCTAGTTACTTACCCACTAAAACTGGATAACTTCACTTTCCCAATGTGAAACCATAAACGAACACCTACTGATCAAATGAAACTACATGAGTTTCAGCAACAATGGCAATTCCTATCACCACACCCAACAACACATTGAACAACAACAAAAATAACACTTACACCTCTAAAACCCCACCTTTCAACAACCCCATTAAAACCCCTGAACAACGAAGACCAAGGACGGACCCAAAATTTCAAACTTGATTGGGCTAAATTTACTTTACATAATGCCTACATGAGTAAGGAAAGCACACTCTTTGCCACTAACTTTTCTCCAATTTATAAATTCATCTACAGTGAATGCCTTATGTGAGTAATCAACGTCAAAAAGAAAGCATGAAAAACAAAACACTTTATCTTTATGAACAGAATACTCAAGCCAAAGATATTGGTTATACCAACTACCTTTAAATCGACGCATTTGTTTCCCTTCTAAGTGGGTTGGATATTCCTTTAGTTTTGGTTGACATGATCCTAAGAGAATATATGCTCTTCGAACATTATCATGTTGATTAGGCGGAAATGTGTCTATTTGGGGATGTAATCCCGGATCACACTTAAGAGAATTGGTATCAACTTCTTGATCAAAATTGGCTCTTTGAGACTCAGCTCTTAAACTTTCAAATTCATCTCTTTGAGATTCAGAATGAGGTTGCTCCTCACAAATTGGAGGAGGTAGAGAAGAGTTGGAACGCATGCTAGTTGATTCTTCATTATTTCTTTTTAAAAAATCCCGGATAGTCTTTGATCTCTTAGGATTTGGATGATGATCAGACATTAAAGTATAACCTATTGGATAAGCAAGAACACCAAAATCAATTACAAATCCTATTTGATAATTCATAACTCATAAACTGAAATTGATAAGCTCCAATTGTAAATCCTTAATTGATAAATAAATCATAAGTCTCAATTGCAAATCTGTAATTGATACTAAATAAAATCCAAAAAAAATTCTCAAATTTCAACATCAACAAATTGAGAGAAGCTTACCATACTTGACAAATATAGGAGCTTGGTTCGCTTCTTGAATTAAGCCTCGAAGGTGAGTGCAACAACAACAAGAGTGTTCATTTACGCGTGCAAGGGTGCAATATGAGTTTGGTGACAAAGTCAACAACTCTAAGAAATAGTTAAAAAATTTCTTCTACTTTTCTTTCTTTTTTTCCAAAGGTTGTGTGCACTCTTTTTTCCATTTTTTACTATGTGCTATAGGCTGTAGCTTTCCTATTCTCCTTTTCATTCCCCATGTGCAAGGTAGTGCAAGCAAAGGAATCCTAAGAATGGTTAGGATATTCAATTGGATGGCTGGCTGTGCTATAATTATTTTTTGGGCTGAGATTTTAAAAGCCACTTGGGCTATAGCCCAAGTTAGTGAAAGCTATGTTCCTTCCCTGACGAAGACGCTTGGACACAGCTTCTAAGAGCAAGTGTAGCGCTAGAGCCTTGCCATGGCAACAGGCCCCCCCAGGCCCCAATTCCACCTCCAGCGCAAGCCCACATGCAAAAATGGACAGGTTGCTAACATCAGTGCCTTAATAGTAAAAAATTTTGAAAATCAGCAGCTGACGTTAGTGTGATGTTAGCGCTGACCCACCAGCCCACATAACCTAATGGCTACAAGCCACGTGGCTTCTCCTGGAGCCTCTGATCAAAAAATTTTGCCTAATTCAACGGTTGTCCAATTTTTTGCTAAAACAAATTGAAAAATATATCAAAAAATTCTGGAAATTTTTTCTATAAATACCTACCAATATTATTCACTTTCCACACCAAATCTTCATACGAATTCCTCTCCCTCCAATATTTTTCACTTTCCAAACCAAATTTTAGACTACAAAATTTCATTTGTGCAAAGATACAAATGACCTCTTCCATCGAAACCGGAGGGTCGTGGACAGACGTTCGAAGAGGTCAAAATCTTGGCGACGAGGTAAAAAAAAAAAATTAATTGCCGTTTTATTCAATTTAATGTCATTTTTTATTATATATATTTCTTGCATTTCCAATTTCATTTTTTTAATAGATTATGCAAGGGAAAACAAAAAAGAGGAAAACCATTACACATGGCTTCTCAAGTGAACAATGCTCGCAGTTAGTTTCAGTGGTACGTTCCATGTCGGAAATAATGACACTATTACGTCCTCTAAAGGAAAATACTCCTCCACATCGTGATCCGGTGGAACCGCCTCCGCCAATGATTGAGTTGTCCTTGTACTCCATTGTGTCGGACTATGAGGACCAGAGTATTTCAATTATATGATAAGTGAGTAGGTATGTCAATTGTATGATGAGTGAGATGTGAATTTTATAATAAATATGGACACGTGGCAACTGAAAATCTTATCCGAAAATTTAATTTGAAAATTTAATCCGAAAATGTTATATGAATTTTTAGGTGAGAATTTTATAATAAATATTGACACATGGCAACCGGAAATATTATTTGAAAAGCTTATCAAAATTAATGGTTTAAGTATAAAAATTAGAAAATAAAGTAAAGTGAATAGTGTTTGTCCTTGTCCTTGCCATTTGGGGTGGAACCAAAAAAGGCAAGACTGCCATTATTCATGTGAATAGTGTCAAACATTGTCTTGCCTTTGCCTTGCCCTTGTCTTTTGGGGTGGAGATGCTCTAATAAGAGTAACTCCACTCATTTGCCCTTAGCCATGGCAATGGGGGGAGCTAGGGCAGCTACTATTCACGTGAATAGTGGTTGCCCTTGCAAATCAAAATTTTGTGTTTCCACCCGTTGCCCTTGCTAAGGGCAGTTACTATTCATTTTTTTGTTTTATTCACAATTTTTTTTACCTCAATAATTAATTTGGATAATATTTTAGGATTAGATTTTAGGGTTCCAACATGTCAATAC